TGGTGAGGGACGAGAAGGGCTGGGGAAGGGGAGAAGGAGAGAAAATGGCCGCCGGTGGTGGCAGCGCGGGGTGAGCCCGCTGGAGGGGAGCGCGGCCCCGCAGCGCACCTGAGGGAGCGCGGCCGCGGGCAGAGGACGGTGCGGGGCGGAAAGGCAGTGAGCGGCAAGTGTAAGGTGATAAAAAGCGAAGGGGGCAGCAACAGGGGGAAAGAAAATAGCGATTGTGAGGCTGGCTAAATATCCGGGATGATCCAAGAGGTTCCCGCTTCACGAGTCTAAGTCCAGCAGCCTGCTGTTCTTCACAGTGGCTTCCCTGATGTTCCTTACAGAGACTGACTTCCAGCCCCTTAGCACAAGAATAAAACAGACTCTGGTGGCTGTAATCTTCTCTCCTTCAGTAATCCTCTCTGTATTTTACAGAGAGACCACTGGAAGTAATTTAAAATGGAAATAAAGATAGCAGCTTTGTAAAGTGTGACAAAAAGGTAGGGAAACCAATGGAGTTTAGTCGGACTTAAGGGAAATGAGACCACTAGAAAAAAGGTGTTCATTAGTAAGAAATGAGCACACACACGCTCTCCCCAAATAATTTAGTATTGGGAATAGCCTATTCACTTAATGTACATTAAGAATGTTTTAGAACACAGTACACAGTAGGAGGAGTCTGGAATGGTGTTCCTGGCCACAGCCTGAAGCAGCAGCAGCAGCATCCATAGGAGCTCCACAGCCAGTGCAGGGATGAACACCTGCCGCCTTGTACTTGTCCTGAACGTGCTGCTGCCACCACCTCTTACTGCCATTCTTTGTGCTTTGTTTTCATCCTTATTTACTTGACGTTGTTTGTATTGGAGACCTTACCTATTTTAATCTATTGACTGCAAGAGGTCCCTGTTTCTCCAAGTCCCTGTAATCCACGTTGCACGTAGGGTGGCAGAGGCCCCAGCCCAGATGCTGGCTTGTGCCATCAGGCTCAAACACATCCTCCACAGTTGTATAACCTGACCCAGACACCGTGTCCTAGTATTGTATGGCCTCTGCCAGGTTACATAAGGTGACACACCATCTGCACTGACATCTGTGACCTGATGCAGGTGGCATCACTCTGCAGCACATGTTAAGAAGGGGAGGAGGCTTCTTACAGCCCACATTTACAGAGATATATAGATACATATATATATATAAAAATATACATGGTAGAAATAAACACTACACATTTGCTGATGTGGAAGTAGTTTGAGGGCAAACATAGTAGACATTTTGCCCCCAAATTTCAAAAGTTGTCAAGTGCGAGAATTCTTCAGGTGAGGACATTTTGCCCCCAAATTTCAAAAGTTGTCAAGTGCGAGAATTCTTCAGGTGAGAAATGCTATTTTGCTTGCCTCCTATTTCATTAGTTCTGACTGGTCACCTTTAAGATTTTTCCACCAGAGTTGAAAAGTAAAAGAAGTAAAAATCAAGAGTAAACGAAGTTTTGTTTTACAGGGAGTGGGTCTGCCAAGTATTAAATCACAGCCTGTTCTAGCCCCACAGTGTTCAAAAAGGAAGGTGGTAAATTTGCTAGGTATTCCTGTGGTGATCACCATAGTGTGTGGACTTGGAGAACATGAAGAGAAAGAAAAATAAATTCTTGGGAAACGCAGAGGTACTCCAGCACCCTGAGATGGCAGGAGTGTGATTAACATTGTTCTGATGGAGGAATGCACATGCAAACTCTGGCTGAGACATTTCCAGAAGTATGAGCTAACAGACTTGACCTCGAGTCCTAGTGGAAAGTAAGGCTAATTTTTAAAGGCTTTATGCCTCTTTTTGAATAAACCCTGAGTTGATTAAAACCTGTAGCAAAGCCCTGGGTTTCACAGGCTCAGGGATTCGGCACCTAAGAAACTTCTCCAGTATTTCTGAAGTGGATTTTTTCTTCCTGCAACAAAAGCATCCTCTCTCAGCACACAGAGGACAACGTGCAGCTGTTATCAGTGCACACCGCTGTGAAACTCACTTGATCAGCCCCAGGCAGCAGGAGATATCTCCCAGCCCCAGGGCAGCCAGAGTCTCCAACACATCCAGAGTTAAAATCAGCAGCCTCGATCCACACCCTGCGACTTCCAGCGCCGCCAGCATCTTACAAACACACCTCTCGGACTTGCACTGATGGATTACTGGGGGCGTGGGTGCCTCCCACCAGTGGAGACAACAAAGGGTTTTATTCATGGGTGTCTGTAAAAGAAAAACAACACACTGAACATGCATGTGGTGAGAGCATCCCCATCTGCATCATGTGAGTCTCGTTCCACTGCACCCCGAGAGCTCTGAGCAAGGGGAAAGAAGCTCAGGGCTCCATTTTGCAATTTGTGAAATGTCAGGGAAAATAGAAACTGATTCTGATTGTCTCACCGAAAAAAAAGAAAAGATAAATTATTTCTCTCTTTTCTGCCTTTCACAGTGCTGCTTCTACCTCTTTGTTTTTCAGGCTGTGGATCAAGGTGTTCACCAATAGAGAAAAGGGCAGTGTAGAGAGTCCAGCATCACAATCAACACAACGGAGAGACAGAGTCAATTATTAAACCCTGGGCAGCCTGCAGGGCTTTCAGCACTGGGTAAGGAAAGCTGTTTGAAAAGCTACTTTCTCTCCTGCAGCATTAAGTGAAAATGCATAATTTGTGGTTTTTAGGCTATTTGTAGTTGAGAGCATTGAGCAAGCATTCGCTGCTTGGTGTCCATAGAGCTTCCAGCCCTTCTGTAGTCAGTTCTCTGATCCTCCAGGATCTTGACTCCAGCCAGTATAAAACCAGTGTAAAAAAGACATTTATTAACACAAATATATGAGCTATACCCTGATATGAAGCCTTATCCACAGGAGAAAAAGGTAGAGTTTAGAAAGATTGTACATCACCTAATGTCAGCCTGAAAGTGCAACTATGCAAATTGAAATAAAAAGCAGTCATGAAGCTTAACATCCACTGGCAATGATTCACACATTTGTTTACACTTTGAAAATCCTCTTTGCCTTAAATTTTCTCTCGGGGACATGTGTTTTTACAAGACAATTTCTCACTTTCATCTTCTCCTGCCCAGAGCAGAGCTACTCAAGGCTGTAACTCCCAACAAACCCTACCAAGTATAGAAAAGGATTAGGTAGGGGTGGTATTATTTGCCTTGTCATCACTGAAAATAATGCATTTTCACCACACTGAAATATCCTGCTTTTTTAAGATTTTAGACAAGACAGATGATTTTTACTGTGCAGGTAAGAGAATTCAAATTAAAATAGGCACTACGGGTCAAGATGTAACAATAGTCATGCTGAAGTAGGAGCTCATGAGTCATCTCCAGTGTGTCTTACACTGTGTCATAACAAAATTCTATTATTTTTTTTTTTAAGACAGAGAAGTTGTTATTCATGCAAAAGTTCAAGAGAATAAACAAGGGATCATCAAAAACTCATTTTACCCTTTCTGATGATGATGGGAGGCTTCAAGACATACTAGAAGAGCCAAAAGAGCGTTTTGGCCACTGACTTTCATTTCACAACAGATGAAAAATTTTACTTTAGCCCAGTGGACTGAGTAACAGACTATAAGGAGAAAGGGAAAAGAACAAATGCAAACACACTTTGACTAAATAGGTACATACATGCCCAGTAGAAGCAAGTATTTCAGGCCAAACCCACTTCCTGTTTTCTTTAATACTGAGTTTTAGAGATAAAACACAATGCCTCATGACTTTCATTGGAGTAGAAGAAGGCAAGTGATTTTCTTCATGTCCTCAAAGCCCCTTTGTCTTAAAAGTCTTGATAAAAATTAGTCTTTTGAACCCAGGTAAGTTTCCAAGGACTTTAATCAAGGACTAGCAGCAGATCAAGATCAAAACCAGTAAGTACAATTTTCATCAAAAGGAAAAGTCTTTCTGGAGACTGAACTGCGCTGATGGAAGAGGCTATTCTCTCAGAAGTATCTGATATTAAAGGGTTTCCACCATGAAACAAGTTGTTAAATAAACACCCATCAAAATAACACCTTTTCTAAAGTTATTTGGCTGTAGGGATTAAAAAAAAAAAAAAAAGAAAGAAAAATAAAGTGGTGTTCTACCACAGATATCTGTTCTGCTGAAGGCTGATCAGGAGGAATGTATCTCAAAAGCTAAACTTCTGATGGTTCTCCTGATAAATGGAGGAGTCTGTTTCATTCAAAATTTTTCCTAGATGTAGACTGCCCTGCAACAAATTCTCTACCACCTTCATGAGATTGTCCTCCAGTTAATAGCACAGCACACATAAGGAACATTGAAAAGTCTGGGGCGTGGTTCCCTGGAATTCTTCAGACTCCGTGGTCTTGCAAAACAACTCTCAAACTTCCACTGCAAGGTTTTGGTTCTGGTGGATTTCAGGAGGTGGAAGTGTGTGTGAAAACCCTGGTAGGTTTTTGTTTTAATCACACTGATTGAAAATCAGTTAAAAGACCCATTCTGGTTTTGAATTGGAATGGAATTTTTATGCTGGATATTGCCTGGATCCACATGTCTTTCCCTGCGGGCTGGGGGTACCTGCAGCAGCATCTCCTCCTCCTCCTCAGAGCCTTGCAGGAGTCTCTGGGACAATGACCAGACTTCCTGATACACAGCTGCCATTCAGCTCTTGCTTGAATGCTTGAATCTTAGTTCCCTCTCCTAGTCCCACGGAAGACCACTGCTATTCATAAAAACAAATGCTATAATCTACCCAGCAAGGCAGAGAAAAGCCTGGACAAAACTCCCAGGAGGGGATGACAGGAATACTCTGCATCTGGACACCAGGCAGTCAGAAGTGATGAGCCAACACCACAGAATAGTGGAACAGGGATCACCAGCTCAAATGCAAGGTACAAGGGGATGGAGAAAAAATTGACTGCTTATACCTGCAATAATTAGGCTGAATGGAGCTAGGAGAGGCAGAATTTGAAAGGGAAAGAAACATTGTACCCAAACAGTTGGAATTGACAGCTATTTTGCACAGATCACTTTTGAGAACCTTTGAATTCCCTAGTTTGATGAAAGAAATTTATTTCCCCTTTCTTCCTTCCTTTCTTCTGTGCATTATTGCATCCAGCAGCCCTGGAGCCCAGCTCCTGTGTGAGCGAGCACCGGGGGGGCTGTTGCTCATTGCTGGCCATATGCTTCTGTCAGGTGTTTATTTGCACTAAAATTGCTATTCTTGAAACCCCATAAAGCAGTTATTTTGTAGTAATTTGTGATCTGGTAGATGTTGTTCCCAGCTTTCAGGAGATTCAGTTTTCTACAAATATGTCAGTTGTGCTTAGAGCTTGGTCTTTTCAACAGCTTTAGAGGAAGGTAATCCATTTTGCACTTAAACTGTCCCTCTATCTTTCTATGTCCTAATGTTCTCTCCATGATTTTAAATCACTTCATTTTCTTTGCTTACAAGTGCTCTACTTCTCTAATCTTGGAAAAATTGCCCTTCCTCACACTCTACCTTTCTGACTTGCAATAAATTAGCTGGTGACTCCATGACAACAAAATTGATCATGTCTCCTGAAGCTGTCTCCATATGTCTTTGGCAAGTTTGTGGGACCTCGTCTTTTCTGACAGCTCATGTCCTGGTTTTCCTGCAGCACCCTCCAACAGTGACTGCTAAGTGAAAGAAGACAGTTCTGGTGCTGTTTCACCTGATTGTTCTGCCACTTTCATGAGCATTTGCTTTCCTGGCTATCAGTGATGGCTTTTTATCCTATTCACTTCATAACTTGACGAATTTAAACTTTTGCAACTTCCTGATTGTTTTTTCAGTCGGTCCTACTTGCTTCTCATATTTCTCAAGATCATTTATAGCCATTAACTGCTCCATGACAGAGGTGAGTGTCTAGCTGCAAACCTGCAGTAAGGGTAGAAGAATTCCTAAAGTTCAGCTCTTCAGCCAAACGTGTATTTTAAAAGGGTTTTAAAAAGTGTTATTATCATAGCCTGGATACTCTTATCTGGTAGGATATAGAAAATGCAAAGGTGAGCAGAATACCAAAATTCCTGCTAATTAGCCCAAGCTGTCTGCAGTATGAGTGGAATATAGTCTGATATAATTTGGCTTTGGGAGGCCTGTAAAACTTAATCAACTCTTCCATTAACTGCTTTGTCACTTTTTGAACCACAGGGGTGTAGCTGCTATTTCTGCTGATTGCAGGAATCTGGTAATAATGTGAAGTCAGTAGCTTGGACTAAAATGAGAGATACTGGGGTGCAGTACAAGGAGAACAAAGTTTGTACTGTCTGCATGCAAACCAGAGAACAATCAGGTTTTCTCAGAGGTAATAGGCTCAAGTCCTGAAAATTCAGGTTGAAAAAGTCTTTTGATTTAGAGTTAGAAAAGGAGCCGTGCCCAGCAAGGTTCTGTCTCCTCACCCCCTACGGAGCAATAAATCCTCTAATCCCACAGAGGTAACAAAACCCCAGGCCCCCAACTTTACCAGTGATTTTAGTATGTCCTTTCTTCTGAAAGGACTGCAACTTTTTCAAAATTCTGTTTGCAATCAGCTTCACAATATTCTCCCTGCTCCACACACATGGGAATTCTCACCCACAGCCACCCTGTGAATTCCTTGCCACTCACTCTGCAGCTATCAGCTTCTTCATGCTCAAAATAGCTCCCCTGCGTCACATCAGAATGGCTCCTTGCTCCCAGCTGACATTCCCAGCCCACAGAAATCCCAGTATTCCCGTGCAGCTCCTCACTTTGGGAAATCTAAAAATAACACGCTGTTTTACTATTATCTTTGCAAGTTTAGGTGAGTCTTCTGCAGATAGTAAAACCGAGAGAAAACTCCTGCACGTGCAGCACTGAAATTCAACAATACATGACTGAGCTTTTTAGCTGGGCTCATTTCTCACCACGGGGTTAAGTCCCCAGGATAGTTGGTGCCTCACGTAAGAGGAGCCTGGATAATTTGGCCATAGACTTAGAAAGGTGGCTCTAATTTCAACTAAAAATACATTTGAATTCCTTCTGCCTTAACCACACAGCTTGCCTCTCACACAGGCACAACCCTTGTGCACTCCTTTCTCCCTTGCCCAGACTTTCTTTACACAAGCCTGCATGCCTCTTTCCCAACTCTCACGCCCCACCCTTCTCCCAGATTAAGTCCCCAAAATCATCCAGAACTTGATTTCTCCTTGTTTAGGCAAAGACAGAGAAGATTTCCAAATTTGAGGGTTGTATTATATGAAGTACCTTGGTGGGTAAGATGTTATATTAAAATAAAGTCACAGAAAGTTTTATTCCATTTGCACTAAGGTTTGCAAATATTTTTGCAATTAACCAAGACAGGTTTCTTTCTCAAAAGTAGTTAATTACATGAAATACTGAAGTACATTGTATTGAATCACACTAAATACAATGAAGTAAACCTTGTTTATTACTAAGTTAATCACAAAGTGTTACTTTTACCCAGATTTAATTTGGACAGAATATTTTCAGTTTCACTGTCTCAGAAGCTCAGTATAACAGAATTTGCTAACTTCTTAAGAAACAAACAAACAAGGGTAAAAGGCTAGATAATAATGACTTTCTTGGCATTCCTTCATGTTTCATGTCTTCAAGGCAGTGATGCTGGGGATCAGTTCTTTCCTTTAAATTAAAAATCAAAACAAACTAAACAACCACCTCACTTTTCCCAGTGTTTGGGTTGGAAGAACTAACATAATTTGAAAAAGATGCCTTAATGTATTGTATTGTTGTTTTTGGTTTTTTTTAAATGCTCTTACCCTATCAGTAATTAACAGATCCAAGTAATTTTAACTGGATTAGAAAGTAATTTCTTTCTATTCTGTTTATTTTCTTCTATTGCACAGCTAACCTCATAGTTGGCTGCCAATTCATTCAAAGCTGTTCAGTATCTTTGTAGCTTCTAACAAGAATATGTTTTCTTCACTAATTATTCTTGAAGAAGGTAATTTGTATTATTAAATGTTCTTCAGGTCTGCTTTCCTGTGGTTTATGAACTCTTGCTAGCTTCAGTCATCTGGAGAGAAATGAGACATGCAAGCCTCCAGAAAATATTATTTATTAGGATCTACAATAAGACACACAAAAGATATAATTTTGAAACCAACAATTATAAAAAAATTATATTAAAATATTTCTGTAAATTTTAAGCAAAGTCCATTGGGACTTCCTGAGAATGAAAATATTTTTCCTGGAGAAAACATTAGTAACACTGAAAGAGCTGTGTGTTGCCTCTGGGGACCCATTTTACTGAAAGCAAAGATGGGGAGGTGACCAGCTGTCTCAGAGTCATTGAACAGGCTCAGGAAACCCTGCTCTTGATGTAGCTGGTTTTGGCAATAGCTTGAAAAGTCTTGGTGTGATTTGGTGCCTTTTCTCACTGGCCAGCCATGACCACAGCCTTTCCATTTCCCAGCTTTTTGGCGGCCTTTGTAAAACTCTTGATATCTGAGAGTACAGTTGCTGAAAGCTTCAATCAAATGCTGCAGGTACTGAAGAGTGTCCCAGGAGCACCATGTATAAAATGCAAAGTCATTATGTGCACATATCTATAAACCAAATGAGTTCTTCATCTTGCTTTTCTCCTGCTGTGAACTTGGTGTTCATCTGCATCCTTCAGTACCTAATTATTATTTTTAAGTGTGCATTTCCTTACCTATCAGGGTGTACCAGCTTTGTCTCTCACAGTTCATATTAGCTATCCTCTGTGCTTGATACATTACTTTAGGAATACAATTATTTCTTGCTGACATCTCTACCACTTTGATTAATAAAATTAATTAAAACCATTACAACAGGAGGTAATTTATGAAACACTAAACAAGAAGCCCTCCCCCCCCAAGAGCTGACTAAGACAAGAACAAAAGGAGTAATCATGGGTGATAATTGCATTATCTCATTCCATTTTCTTCTGAAACCTCATTACAGCTGTCCCAAGAAAACATGCATTATCCAATCCAAGTAATGAAAGAGCAATTCTAAAAGCTAATTGTCTATAAAAATCTAGAGCTGATCCTTTACTCCTTGGAAATAGGAAGGTAATTGTATTGGTGTGCCAATTCATGGTCATCATCACAGGGGATCACATCCAGCTTCAGAGTACCAACTTCTCCCTTTCATAAGGTTGGAATTAAAAAAAACATTCAAATATTGCAGTGAGACCATTCCAGCACAGATGTGATTTTCATTCATCATGGGTCTATATTTGGGAAAGAAATGCATGCAAGATCCAGTGGCTAAAAACTGAATAGAAATTCTGTGGCCTGGAGCAAGAGGATTATCCGGGCACCTTCAAGCTTTAAAATCCTTTAAACTGATACCCAAGACAGGAAAACACTAACATCTCTTCAAGTTTTCCTTCCAAGCCACAGGAAACTAGAATGAGAAAAGGAAACAAATCACAAGTAATTTTTTGGTGCTCCACTGGCCACATTTCATGGCACAGGAGTTACCTCAGATGGCAGCAGTGGGGCTGCTCCAGAAGGTCTGGTCAAAGACCAGACCTGGAAAACTGTCTTCACTCAGCAAGTCTTGGCTTTGTGGCTACTGCAAAGACAGCAAAAGAAAGTGAGAAGAAACATTGCTGTTCACTGAGGGGGATGAGGATTCCAAAGATATGGGCTGAAATGCTTTCTGACTGAAGTGTAACCCTGTGAAAGAAAATGCATCGACTGCTTGGGAGTGATGAAGGAAGTCCTAAGAAAGGAACATGAAACAGGATCTCAAATTATCCACTGTTGTTTGCACAGGTTTTGTTTGGGGTTTTGTTGTTTTTTTCTTCAAGAAGAAATCATTAGGAAACTAAATTTGGACACCAATCTGCTGCTTACTGCTGCTTCTGCTACTACCATGGCCCCAAACTGATGGTACAACAGCCAAAATGCATTAGGAATGCAGCTGACATCAACATATCTCTGCTGAATGTCTTGTATGACATGAATGTCTTGGTGCAGATCAGCAGTACCGATATTTAACCGTGACTTTTCTGTGTAGACAATGTTTAACAGGCCAGAAACAATACACAGGCATGCAGTACCATAAACATGCATGGTACAGCAGAAGGAACCAAGCTCATCTCATGAAGAAGAAAAACAGCCCTGAATTCAGCTATTGTAAACATCCTAGTAGAAAAGGGCCATAATGATTCATCTTTACAAATAAAAGTATGGATTGATAAGTATAATCCCCCCCCTTTGGATTAAAATTCCAGTCTGCTTAGTGCTGAGGTAGAAGAGTTTCAATAAATGTAGAAGTATGTGAGAAAATGGTGTCTAGGAATTTATCTTCCTTGATCATAGATCATTATGTATAAGCAAATCATTGTATAGCAAATAGAAGTTATAGATTATTAAAAATAAAAATGAACATGTGGTTTCTCAGTGATTCAGTGAAATGCTGCACCCTGAGCATAAGGGCAAGTGATCCTTTTATGCAAGAGAGTAGCACGTCTCCTACTAGCCCCAAGAGATGAACGAGTCATACTCACAAAAATTACTAAAAAATGGGGATCCAAATTTGTTTTGATTAGGTGTGGGATTTTGATCCTGTGCCTTTAAAAGCTGGCAGTTTAGCAAAAACATCAAGCTGCATAATTTCCCACTGGCTAGAAAAATACTGCTGATGATCTCTCAAGTGGAACTGAGCAAAAAGCCTTATCTCATGCAAACAGTGAGTTGTGTATTTTTGGTTTTGGGGTTTTTTTTCCCCTCTGTGTTATATAATAAGAAGCCAGGTGTGTTCTTCACTTTCTATGGAAATACTGATTCCTCATTTCAACTGCTGGCTTTTAAGAGCTCCCTTCAATGTATATATTGGTTATAGGATTGAACATTAATCTATTAAAAAAAGGCCTAGAATTTGATTACTACACACTCAATGCAGATTAATGAATCTGCAGATGCAGCTACACAAGATCCCTGTGCTCATCCCTCAAGCAAGGATGTTGACAAATGACAAAACCTGGCACATTTATCCTGGACTTTTCAGGTTGCAATGCGCAAACAGATGAAATGGAGCCCGGAATAAATGGAAATATCCTAAACCCACCATCCCTTACAGCTCAAACCCACAACCTTCAAAGGCAGTGCATCTGTCAGCTGGTAACTGCATTTTTTTGGCCATAACAAGACCATGTGTTGTTCACAATGGCAGAGCCCAAAGTGATGCACAGTGAATTATGTAGAGAACTGAGAAGCCTCCCTGTGCTGCTGCTATTATGGGGTCATTTTTGTTCACTCACCTGGAGTAACAGCTGCTTTTAATTCTTCCCTTCTCTGCCCTCTCCTGTGTTCTCTCATTAGCAAAGGGACCTTTCCTGGTTGTACCATTTTGGAGCTGGCATTCTTAAAACCACAGTTTGGAGATGAGAAATTTCAGGTAGCACTTGGCAAATCCAGAGGATGCTGTGGAAGCTGCTGATATGATTCCAGTACAGCATATGGAATGTATGGAAGAGGAGTAAGCTGAAAGGTTTGTGAAGTTCATTATGTTTTTCTCCAAGTAAACAAAAAAAGACTTTTTTTTTTTTTTTTCCCTGGAGAATGAATTAATTTCTTCATAGTCTAAATTTTTCAGCAAGTGAATTGAATCTGATGGGTTTTTAATGTTCTTGTAGAGCCAGGAAACTGTATTAGAAATTGCTAACATTTATCATGTTCCTTGGTAGAACAGTCAGATACTTTGGCTAAAAAGAAACCCCACACTGATTGTCTCTCTTGAATAAGTACTTTTAAGTAAATAACTGGGGCTGTTGAACAAATTAAAAAAAACCCAAAAGATAAACAAAATAATATTTCTGCAAGAAAATAGTGTCCAAATTTAGCTCATGCGGTTTTTGTCAGAAGAGAGAAGATAAAATTATCTCCAGCTAAACCAAGGCTCTTGTATACTTGTCATTTAGCAACTCTTTCAGTGACATGCAGGCAAAGACTAGAACTGACAATTATTTCAACAGAAAAAAAGAACAACAAAACGGAGGTTAGAGGACACATTATTTATTGTGCTCATCTGACAGCCCAAATGCAATGAGATGAGGCAGAAGTGCCCAGGCACTGTTACAGAAAGAATCAGCTCCTGAAATAGATTTGCATTTCGCTTTGCTCTGTCATAATTAGAAATGTCAAATTTCTTTTGGGAGGAAAAAAAAATAAAAAAGAATGGGAAAAGTTTCACTTCTTCTTCTTCCTTAGAAAATGAAAATCTGAGTAAGAATTGAAATATCTGTCTGCAATAAATGTTTGTTTGCTCAGCCTAAAACTAATTTACATTTTTGAAGTGTGAAGTGCATTGTTCATAATCTAGTTAGTTCATCAAAAGTACTTTCAGATATCAATTCTTTACCTTTGAGTGATGATGAATCTGTTATCCAGTGAACTTAACCTGAGATACCAGCAAGTCAGGAAAAGATTAGAAATCCTGCATGCAGAAAGCAACAGGGTGGCTGAGAAGTGCAAGAAAAAGTAGCACACACAAGTTGTTTATAGATTTTGGATACTAAGGCATATCATGTTTCTGAAAACAATCTTGGAAAATTAATTTAATTTAACAATACATCTATTATAGAGAACTTATCAAGGCACACAGGATAAAGGAACCACAATAAATGTGGTTCTCAAGACTCTCCAACCCATAGCAGTAACTGTTAAAAACTAAGTTGGCTTTTCCTACACCTGTTGTGCTGGTTATTTTGGTTGGCTGGCTGGTTTGTTTGTTTTTATCCTCTTAGATTTCTGCTCTTAGATCCAGGAGGTTCCCAGACCAGACCAATGTGCACTCCAGCTGGCTGACAAAACCTTACAAGAAATGTTCTTGTTAAAACATGGTCCTGTGCCATGTTGGAACAGGATGTTTCTTCTCTCCTTTCTTCATTTCAAATTGTTTTGTGAACTGAAAATTCCAAGGACATTCAGTTTTCAAAACATAATTGTTTTGTGAACTGAAAATTCCAAGGACATTCAGTTTTCAAAACATTTCTGTAGGGAAATACGCTGCCTGTGTTTTGAGAGGGGTGCAGTGACTCCAGTAACATCAATTCCAGCTCGCAGCTGCGTTTGGATCCCAAGTCCTTGGCTCTGGGCCTGTGTCAGGCAGCCAAACAGCTCAACTGCCCAGCAAAATGGGAAGCCCTCCCTGCCTCTGCTGGCTGCTCATGAGAAAGGGCTGTGGCTTCATCGAGTCCCTTGCTCAGGGCAATCCACAAGGCTTTCAGGCAGGCTTGGATTACAGGGGAACTCATCTAGCTCTGCATGTTTCACAGCTCCCTGAGAAAATCTGGGAACAAATTGATGGTTTAAATTAAATTTTGCTTCTGATGTGCCAAATAGACCACCTGGGTAGATTCCTAAATCTAAATGTCTGGCAGTGGAGTACCACCCTCTGAGGCAGCTGAATCCCATCCATCTGCCACCCTCCAGCCCACACTTCAGCCCAGAAGTTGTGTTTTTCTGAAGTGCACCCCATCCTAGGGGGTTACCATGGCAACCGAGGGACCGAGTGGCAGGTGCCGATCCTGCTACAACTCCGCTTCTGTCAGGAGACAGCTACATCACTAAAGGTCAATTTTCTGGTCTTTACTGTTAAGACCTAAGGTGATTAAAGAGCACAGGTCACACCTGCACAAACCCACCCCATTCAGAGCTGTTATTCCCATATCAGTGACAACTAATTCCATTTTTGTACCTGTTTACTGTTTCGAGAAAGCCCTTGAAGCCCTCAGTTTGCCATCACACAGCTCACCAAGCAGTGCAGCAGCAGTGCCACATGCTTCCTCTCCTCAAGAGGTTAATGTGAAGCTGGCAGTGTGGAGGAACTTAAAGACACTGAGACCCTCCTATTTTTAAAAGGCTGATGGAAAGGGACTCACCTCAGAAATGTTAAGGCTCCAAACCCTGCTTTTACTATTAGGCTGATAAGGGATGATAGGCAAATTGTTTTTTCATGCCCAATTTCTCAATCTTCTGAAGAGGAATTTTGATGTTGGTGTCTGTCTCTGTAAACTGGCTCTAACACCATTTCAGAGCTAAGCTGTGTAAAAGCTAAATATGATCACCACTTACATCAGCACTGAGGCGATCGCTGAGCACTGTCAGAGGAGGATGGCAACACTTGCCTCAGAGCCTCATGTGTTGATGCCTGAGCATCCCATTTGCTCTCTGGTACCCGAAGACTTGGTGATACTGCTCAAAACCCTGGTGGGCACAGATCTGGGGCTCTGTTGCCAGGCAGAAGAGATTCCCAGCCTCAATTTCCCATCTACTCTTGCTTCAGGAATATATCCTGGTGGATGTCCCTTATTTTTCAAGATGCAATTTCACTGAGACATCAGCTACCTCTCATGGAAAGGAGAAGCCCGTTCCTCTTCTAGATGTGCAGCACAGCAGAGTTTGTTATCCTGCACAGCTCTGCAATTTCAAATATTTCGTTAGAACCGTGTCATGTGGCCATTACCCAGCAACACAGGAGGTTGCATCCCTCTGACAGCTTTTAATGCAGGATAAATGGCATTAGAACATTTTTCTGCAGCCCAGCTGCACTTCAGTCTTCTCTGTAGCATGCCTCTGCTTTTAGACTGTCAGTGAAGCAAAATATCATTGCTGCAGTGAAAATTTTTCCCCTTCCTTTTGTCTAATTTGTCTTTTCATTTATCCTCACATTGTTTGCTTTCAGCTGCTTTTCTGCTTCCCAGGGAATGAATATGCAGAGGGAAGTGGAGACCTTTCTTCTGCCTCTCCTTTCTGCTCCCTGCCTGTCCACTAACAGGCCAAAACTGCATCTTGGGTTCACTCTCTTACACCTTTGAGTAACTGCTCCAAACTGCTTCATAGAATGCCAGCAGAGGGGAAAAACAGCATAAGAAACAGGATGAGAGAAATTAAACGATTAAGCTCATTCAGATTCTCATTTCTGTATCTCTTGCCCAGCTCTCCTCTATAGGAGTATGTAACAGTCCAAATTTAGAGCCTCCAGACTGCAATCAAATCCATTCAGCGCAGCAATGTGAAATTCAAGTGGTGTGAATGAAGCTGAGTTTCTGAGCCATCACGTGGATTTTCAGCGTGGTGGGGGAAGTGTGTGACTGTCACCCTTCGTGGCACCCATGGCCCCAGAGCAGGCACACACACCGTGGCTGTGAAGGAGAGAGGGGCTGGGAGTTGCTCCTGCCACAGGAAGGGGCAGCTGATGGAGGTGCTGACTGTAACTCTGGGGGTGGGCCAGTCTCCCTGCTCTTGGGGTGAGCAAGAGCTCCTGCCACAGAGAGAATCTCCCTTCTTCAGTCTACTCATTGCACAACCTTTACATGCAATGGTAGCAGGTGCACAGTATAATCATACCTAAAAAGAAAAAGATTTGCTTGAGAAAAATTGAAAAGAATTTTTAAGTGGGTCTTATATGTTACATCCTTGTGCCTGGAAAGCTTCTGTAGCACAACCAACATCCAAGCCAAATGGTTCTGTCACGGTGCCTAACACTATTTTTAAAGCCACATTCATTTAAAGACTTACAGAACTCTTCCTTGCTCTTTTTAATCCTGGGTAAAATAACCAGAAATTATTTTAAAGCATGGTACTTCCCCTTTGAATGCTCATGGATTTACACAGGTAACAGAACCAAACACTTTTTCCCATGAACAAAGTGATAAATGAGCATTTCTCAAAGCTGTCTGCTGACCACTGTAACATTAAGCCAGGAAGAATTAAAATGGGAGCCCAAACTCACCTTGCACAGCTACTGAATGGTCATCACTCCCTCAGGAACAGAACCGCATCTTGCAATTCGGCAAGTGTCACATTCAACCCACCACTAAAAGTACCTTGTGTTAATTATCATTCCTTTAGATGACTTAACTGTTACAGGTTTGTTTTAAAGGTATGCAGTTTTTAACCAAATTTCTTTAGAAGTGAGCTGAGGGGAAAATATTGGAAACAGGGTCTGAGCATGGAGTCATCATGCAGAGAGGAAGGAGAACTGCAGTGCTGTTTGAGAACAGCTGCAGATCCCCTGGGATTTGTTTTCCAATTAGTTACAAAGCCCATTAACAAATTCTATTTAGAGGGTTTTCCATTTAAGTGAGGTTTTCCTAAATTAGCAGCCATCAGTTCTTCTTTGGATAGTGAATCTGTCAAATTCCATGGATTATACTAGTGTACAGCCATCCTCCTGCAAAAAAAAGGGCAGCATGATAATATGGCAGAATCATAATCAGAAAAAAAGGAGCTTGCTTTAAAGAGTAGCATATCCCTACTTTTCCTATCAAAACACCTTGCTATGTGTTTTAGTAGTAGCTGTTTTGTGAACTTCAGTTTGCTCTGCCAGTAAAGGGAAATTAATCTAGAGGGGAGCATTGACAGAAAGTTCTTAAAAGGCAGTGAGAAGGTGGATGGTGTCATTTCATCAAAGAGAACAAAGCAAATGCAAATACTAAAAGGAACATTTAAACCTGAAGAAAATAAATCTCTATTACCTTAAATAACTCAGGCTCAGCAGTAGAGAATGTCACTGAGAAGACAAATTGGATTCTTACACAGATAAAGGTATTTCTGCACGTTATAATTCATGGAAAGAACTTAAAATTGATTTCACCCCACATTTCAAAGACTAGCTCAATCTTGTGTTTAGGCAGGACACTGACCTCACAGATGCCTCCTGTGTCATTCCCTGAGCTTCAGCTGAGGCTTCTGGGGTTGGTCTCTTGCTGTGTGTGTGACTGGATCAGGAGGAATATGGGCTGGGACCCAACTGCTGCTAATTGCAGCTCATTTCTCAACTCTGCTGCCAGCTCTGCCCACGAAACAGGACTATTCCCAAGGATTGTGAGTGATGGCCTGAGCCTAGCTCAGTAAGATCTTCCCATAAAAAGACTGGCTCAGAATGGCTGAAAAGAACTGGAAAAGAATGGCTCAGCTCTCCCAGGCAGCCCCTCTGAGCATATCCATCTCCTGCAGACCACCACGTACACTCACTGGTTATTTTGTTGGTGCAAGGTCAGTGAAACCCCTATTGAATATTTACTTCTGGAATGTCTTCCTCAAAAACATCATCTGGGGCATTCTCCAAGAGCTAAAGGTGTACACAGTAGCCTACTGTAACATTTATCTAATGCTTAGGTAAGAAAAATTTACAATCCAAGTGATGCAGGGTGCCTTTATCGAACCTTGTCTTGCCTCCATTGGGGAGGGCACAAAGAGCAGAACTTAAGAGTAGCTTGAACAAGCTGAGCATCTTTGTCATTTAAAGAAGAGATTGTGTCCTCCAGAGACCATCTGCCCAGGATTCAAGACACCAAATTATTTACCAGGAATTGTAGCAACATATCAGAGAAGATGCTCTTGATCTTTGCAATGGTCTTAAGGAATATCCTTCCTAGAAGTGAGCAGTGACACCTGAACCCTCGCTCTTCCCAGCACACAAGCACTGACAGTGCTGAAGTGCATGTGCAATCCTCATTCCACACAGCAGAAGAAGGTGTTCCCTGTATCCTTATCACCATCCTGTCCATCTAATTTGGGCTGTTACTAGACAGTAAACGTTTTGGATGTCTCCAAGTGCAGCAGGAACAGAGCACTAGAGGGAGCTCCGGCAGCACCGCCCACCTCTGAGCCCCAGCCTGAAACCAGACCCTGAGCACGAGATTTCCTTCTCAAGCTGTGAGGCTTTGCGGTGGTTTATAAATCCTCTGCACATTTGAATAACATTTCCCAATATTCTTTTGCAGCTGTAAACTCTAGAATTGCCAGCACTCCCCATTTCTGCCGACAGCTATTATTGTATGGTTCTAGGAACTCCAATTTATTATATAAATGTAAATCTAAAAAAAAAGCCAATCCAAACACTATAGATATCTTAGTTTCAGACAAACTGCCTAAAAAGCTTCAGTGAAGTTTGAAAAATCCTCCAATATTAAACTTTTTCCTTATTGAGATTAAATCATCTTCTTTTAATCAGTAAACCCGCAGGTATGCATCAGGAATTAAAGCTAATATTTAGCCTTTGAATAAATAAGAGACATTTTGGGAATAATATGCTTATTGGGGAGCTCTGGGGAAAACAGAAGACAAGATTATTGCTGTTGGTATGTTCTTTGCTGGCAATTGCTATAACCAAAGCAAAAGTGGCAGAAGCAGCTTTTTTATTTTTAGAAAGACATCCACAGTGATTTTTTTTAAACCTCTCTGGGGAAGACAAAAGCTATCCTCTCCATTTATTTATTTGAGGAAGAATTTATTCTCAAGGCAAAAAAATTTAATAATTTCTAAATAAGAAGAGTCAGGCTTCTGTAGAAACACCAGGGCTATTTTTCGAAGAAAATACCTCAAAAATAATTTACAGAGAACCCAACTGCATCAAACATTGTGTTACTCTATTTCATTCAAAAAATTGCTCAGGAGCCCCAGCAGTGGAGCAGACGACCCTACTTTATCTACACACTAAATACCACATATATATTTCCTGTTTAGTTCTTTTAAATCTAAGGAGAGCAGGACCCCTGTTACAAAAATTCAAAGTTAATTTACATGTGATAGAAAAGCATTGCTCAGTGCAGTGCTATGAGCAGCAAGGTTTGAATAGTGCTAAACCACTGTGTTCCCCCCTTCCCAATCAGATCTAGCACAAAGTCGTAAAATATTCTTTCATTTCTTACTGATCTAAACATGCTTCACCAAAACATTATCTCATGAGAAAAACCTACAGTTATGCTCCCTTCTCCCACAGAAGGGCCACTTACTCCACCAGAAAAGACATATATCTATATTAGCTGTTACCCTCACTCCATCCCCTTAACAACCAAACATCTTACCTTGATATTTTCTCCTCTCTCTTGTTGTTAGATACGTTCTCACACACTTAGCAGATCTCCATCCTCTGTTGCACAGGACAGAAGATGTGAAGTTTCCTGGGTTTCACAGCACTCCAGTGTTTGAGGTTTGAGCTTCTCAGCACCCTCTGCCTCCAAAAACTCCTTTCCCCAAGAGTTATTTTCTCCTTTGCCAGATTCTCTTCACTGCATCGCTTTCAATTATTTCTTAAATTCTCCTTTATAGCAAGCAAGGAAACCACCCAGCCTCCCTTATCCATCACCTCACTCTTTTCCTCTCCCCTCATGCTATTCTTCCCTTGCCCAAGGGAGTGTCTCCACTGTTACTGCCAGCTGAGTTCCATATAATTCCCACTTCTCCTCCCTCACAAATTTCTCTTTATCTCTTCCAGTTGTTTCAGTTTTCCCTTCTCCCACTGTTTCTGTGCTTTATATCCCTTCATGTCCCTTCAGCATGCCTGCACTGTGAATCAGGACATTAGAATGCTGTGCTAATGTTCTTTTTTATTTAGTGTGGGGAATGCCTTTTGTTGATGTTAGCAAAGTTTGTGCAGCTTGTGTGATGAATGTATATTTTAATGTCAATAGGGTAATGAAGCCTCATTCCCCCCAATTTAGAATTCTTCCCAGCATTCTGTATTCCCAATAGAGCCTCTCAGCATCTGCCATCCTTGGCAAGAAGTGCCATTGAGCAAACAGCTCTTTCCACTGCTCCACCTTCCTTCCTTCACTTTCTCTTCCCCTTTGCCATCCAAAAATCTGTGGAGGAAGGGTAAAGCCCATAAAACAGACTGAACAGCCTTCTCCAATAGTTACTCCTAGGAAACAACGCACAGGAGTTTTTAAATTCATGTTCCCTAAATCCAGTGGAAATTAAGATGTACCTGCTGCTGTTGCAAAGAAGGCAAACTCACAGGTCTGTCAGTGAAATACAACTATTGCAGCAGCATTACAGACCCAAGCACAGAGAATGGGAAGTGACATTCTACAACTGAGAGATAATTTTTGCCTACATATGTGTGGGAAACGCAAGAACCAAGAGACACAGGGTCTTAAAAGTCCCCAGTGCTCACTGAAAGAAATAATTGTTTGTCACTTCACAAACACTGTAAGAAAGAACATAAATACTGCAAAGGCAGCAATGGGGTTGTACTTACAAGGTAATAAACCAATTGCTGCACAAAGAAAAACCACAGAACTACTTAAAACAACCAAATCTTTTAATTAGAAAGCAACAAACATGCAAACAGCAGGTATAGAAATTTATTTGAACCAACGTTTTTACTATCATGAAAGTTACTTTAAAACATTGATCCAAGCTCCCACATTTGCTGTTTAAGGAAAATATTGCACTTGGCATTTTCTAGCACCCCTCATACATGGCAAAACATTTTAAAAACATTTTTGCTTATTTTAACTTGCACACTCTCCCAAGTCATGCACACAGTCATTCAAAAAAAAAAAAAGAAAAAAAAAAAAAAGAAAAAAAAATAAAGAAAAAGAAAAGGTTAGGTTATCCAAAAGCAATACCTCAGAATTGCACTAAAGCTCTGTAAGGAAAAATATAATTAATGTCTTATACAAATTTCATTGACTTCCAGGTGCTCACACACAATGGTTGGTTACTCCTCATCTTCGTTTTCATTTTCCTGGCCAGATCCTTCTGATCTGTCACCTTCCAATCGGTCTGCAAAACACAGATGTAGTAAAAAGAACTTGCAAAAAAATTTTCTTTTTCTGGTAAATATTTATTACATGCTGTCTCCCTGGACTATTACAGAATGGGATATGACTGTGTTTTATGGTAGAAGAAAGTCTACAGCAGAGAGTGGGTAGAAATGTTACCACAAGAAAGGAGAAAAGGAGAAATACCCTAAAGGATTTCCAGGCATGAAAGCAAAATCTGTGTACAAAAGGAAAACCATAGCTGCTGACTGGCTGTCAGCACAGAAAAGATGAATGTAAGCGTAACATTAAAATGAGATGGTGACTACAAGGGACAGAAGTGCTGGGGAGGTGAAACTACAATAGCTACTGTTAGAAATGTGAATAGTCCAGAAACCAGGGGATCACTGCCTGTCACTTCAATGTATCAGAAAAAGTGCCTTTTGATGAAAATATTTAGAGAAGGGCAAATACAGAAATGTGTGAGGGAACATGACTGGCTCAAGACCAATCACTCAAGTCACATGCAGTCAGGTTTAGAAACACTCCACCCAGCCATAACAGATTTTTGCTGAAATTATTCTAACTGAAGTGTTGGGCATTTCTTTTAGCATTTCACTCAAGAGAGATAAGAACAACTGAAGGAAACACAGGAGCATGGAGGTGTAGCACTGGGCTGGACACACGGCTCCCAGAGGTGAGAAAGGAGCAGCAGCTGCCACCAGCCACGGTTCCCTTCGCACCTCACCACTGCAAGGCACCGCTCTGCTCAGCCAGAGTCCCATATTCAGCATCTCCCATCACTTTCACCTTCATCTGCAGGTCTGTTAGGTTTTTGCCCCATATGCCATGCCAGCCACCCAGGACATCTCCTTGCTTCCTATACAGCGTGTGATGCCTCTCCACTGTCCCCCATCTCCAGCACCAATGTTCAGTTCCCAGAGATGATTCTTCCCAAGCAACCCTCTCTCATCACCAGTTGCACCCCCATGGGAACTGGAAGGACATCCTGCTGCCCAGCAGTCTCAGCAATGCCAATGCCCCCCACAGTCCTGAATCTTCACACCCTCCTTCACCCCTAGACAACTCCAAGCCCACAATCACAGCCAATTTATCTTAAAATTCATTCCAGTCCTCCCCAACAGTTTTCCCATCACACAGCACCCACTGAAAAGATCATTCCTGAAGATTGTCTTTTTCAACATCTAAAAATACATTTTGCTGTTTGTTTTGATATAAAAAATAACAGCTGCAAAGATGTTGCAAGTCTCACACCAAAGAATTCCTAAGTACTTCTATTAAAAGACCCTTGAACAATCCTTGAGTCTTCTCACCAGCCCCAAGTACAGCCACAGACAGCTGAAGGTCTGGATGACTTCCCAATCAACCAGCTATTTCACAGTGTTGTGGATAAGCTCTTCAGAAGTCTCTCACCTGCTCTTATATGATTCAACGAAGCCAACATTCGGAGCATGAAGGAAGCTGGAACAGTGATGGTGTTTCTGGTCTCTTCCAGCATTAATTCATTACGAGTTATAACCTGAAAGCAGGGAAGGGGAAAAAAACAGCATGAGAAATAAATACAGAATTATACTGCATTGATATGGGCTTGTAGATACAAAATTTCTGTGCAAAAGCCATTTACAGAGTCCAAAATTACCCTAAGGGAGCAATATTTTAATAATTGCTATTGAATACTGTTGTCTGGGGTAAGAAAAGTCAGACAGTGGACTCTGCCTGCAGGTATTCAATTATCTGTCTAAAGAATATTCCAGTAAGATCATGGTTCCATTGTCCACATGCATGGCAGATACTAAGATGAGTGACTAAGAAAAACTTTGGAAATCTTTCATGAAGTAAAGCAGACTGATAAGAGGAAGTGCTGTTTCCAGATGGCAACTGTTGTAGAGAACAAAGTTCTAGCACCAGTGCTGGCCAAGAATGTGGGAAGGAAAAGAGATGAGGTTACCCTCAACTCCTACCTTCATGCTGCTTGAAACTTTTGGAGAAAATCCAAGGAACACAAGCCATTTTCTATCCCACTTCATGAACATTCTTTAGCTCCATAATTCTTTGTAAACAGAGCTACAGCTTGCCTCTAAATGACTTGAAAGAGCTAGTTCCTACTGTCTCATTTTCATGGAAAAAAATATCCCCTAATGAATACTTTTAGCTCTCTTCCCTTATTCCTTCCTCATGGTACGGTACTTTCTTGCCATCCTTCTTTCTTCCTCCATGAATTCTAATCCCACACTGTAGTTTGTCGCAGCTTTTAGACTATGTTTTTTATTATAATTAAGCAAAAATATTTCTTTAGGTGGAGACAAGTTCTGACCATTTTTCAGTCTTTGCTCCCAGATCAGCTGCTGTAAGACAGGAAAATAATGCAATTCTTGTTCTCTCTGAGACTCTTCAAGCCTGTTCCTCTTGTGAGGAACACTTTCTTGCAAATGTTTACAGTGCCCTTCTTCCTTCCCAGTCAAATTACCTTTTTTCTGTCATTCTCACCTGTTTGCCAGGCACTTGGCACAGCTGATCACTCCCTAACAGAAGCAAACTGAGAAGATTTCTCCAATGCATCATCAATAACCCCCCTGACAACCTGTTGCTGAGGCTTTTTCTCCATTCAGAGGTTTGTTCTCATCACCACTGTCTGTTTCTATTCACTAAGGTCATGGCCTCTCTCAATTTTACACACATTTCTGTATCTATACGGAACTTTCCTCAAACACAGTGTTTTCTCTCCAGACCTTCCCCCCCTCTATGGAAAATTCAGTTCAGGTATGTTGGACACTTATTCCAGCCCAACATAACATGGTGAGAACTATTTTATTGCTATGAACATCTCCTGGCTCCTTCATAGGTATTTCAATACAGGGAGTAAATTAAAAAACAAAAGACATGTAAAATTACAAACAGCACTGCAGTCAATTTTTCTGACAGTTCTACATTTACTAAAGAAAACATAATAAATATCTAAATAATTTATAATTTTTAGAAATAAAGTGAGGGAACTAAAGTACAGTAATTACTTTTAGCACACATTTATGTTTAGCAATAATTCTAAACCCCAAAGGGATGTCATGACTAAAGCTGTCACACAATATGCAAGGAAGTGTCACTTCACTCGGTGCTAAAATAATGGGAAAGGTTCAAAACTCACAAATGGATGGTTTGGGGTTTTTTCAAGGGATGTAGGGTGGTGGCTAACAGTTGTGTGTTTCTGTTTGTTTAAAATATATTTAGCACTACTATAGAGAAATAATGATAAAAAAACCCCTGGTTTACTCTACCCATGCTGCCCAAGAGATGTCACAAAAAACCCCCAGCCTGACCACCCCATAACCAAATCTGTCCTATAACATTATTTACAGAAAACCATATAACATTTTGATACATTTTGTTATGTAAATCACTCAAATATGATTAGTCAGCAGTCAGCTATGGTCACCCCAGGCCAGTTGCTATATCCAGTTATTGCTCTGAGGGCAACATGAAAATAATGACTTACATAACTTCACATTGGACTTTTATAACTGATTTGGCTTGAAGTGTTTGCTTTATTCCATGAAGTTCCCATGTGCAATCTTAACCTTTAAGTCCCTTTTATGCCACTGAATATTTAATAGGATTGATTTTTGCACTCCCTGTTCTGTATATCCTTGTATTTCCTTCAGTTTATTTCCTTCTTCTTCCCTTCATTTATTTGTTTAGAGACAAGCACTGTGTTCATTTATTAGTTCCTGCCAGTTTTCCATCTGTATCTAAGCGTTCACACTTCTTCCAACTCCTTTCATGTACATAATAGCAGATGATGTTATATAATTTCTAGGAGAGATGACGAAATGCAAAGTGCCAAGGATATGAAAGTCAACTGTTCTGAAGGGCAGCTTTTTATTTGTAGCTCATTTGTTGAACATTAAATAACTCTGCTAATTCAATATCAGTAATTTGTACCAAAGGCTTTTATAGAATTAGAGATGCAACATTACCATGGAAAAGGAGGAAAGGTTCTTACCTCATCTGCAAGTTTTCTGTTAAAAATCTTGGATTCTTCCAGTGGCGACCAAATTTTTATATCATAATCAATACCCGAAGAGGCCAGAACTAGAAGTAAGCAACAGTAATTCTAAATTAAATGTGTTATGTGTTTATTGGTATTTTCTGCCCTTAGATGGAAGAAAAATACTTTACTTGAAGCATTTATTTGCAAATGTCAGATCTCATGCTGAACAGAGCTTGTAATTACCAAGTCCCCGCATGAGATCTGCTCCATAGATTATATGGTTTTGAAAATACATATATATATTAAGAAAACAAATGCAAACATCAAGAGCCCCCTGTTTTAAATTTTAAAAAATCACCAGAATATACAAAAAACAGAAGCAAAAAGCAAGGGCAAATCCAGCCACTACTAATCCATTTCTGCTGGTAAGTATATGCATTAACAAATAGTAACAAAGCTTTAGGATTTGTAGACCCAGGTACAAAGGCAGAGCCAAGATAATTTCAAATTTCAAATAACCTTTGATAATTTCACTGAATTCCATGTAAATTTATTTGCTATTTAAATATAAAGATGCAATGGATGCTGTTATAAACGAAGTATGAAATATATGAAAAATATGAAAAGTTGCAGAATATTCTCTAGATCATTGTATAGAAACCACTGTAGGAAAATCCCACAGAAAAGCCTCAGTAGCTGGGAAGCTGAACAAGATTAACTGTCCTAGAAGGAGGATGAGCTCTCTCAATGACACCTTCAGAGTGTGGCAGAGAGACAGCCACATTCCAACAAATGTCAGCAAAGCTACAGGGCACTGTGAAAGGTGCTTCCAAAGGGAGTATCCAACTCAGGACATTTACAAGAACTCAATTTCAACTATAAAGTTAAAAGTTCAAGGCTTTGCCTATGCAGGACAGCATTCCATGTTCCCCCAAACTGAAAAACCCCCAGCCTCTTCTAGTATTATTATAACAACTTTACTTGCTAATTTACTAACAGCTGACTCTCGCTATACAGCCAGGTAAGCTGTGAAAAAAGAAATGACACAAATACTTTCCCTGACTGTGTCAGAGAAATGTTCAGATTCCCAGCTACATGTGATTCCTACTACTGCTTTGGTCCATCTTTTCTATGAAGGGCTCCCTAAAAACACAAATTATTGGAATTTCTATGAATTTTATTAATTCTTCTAATCTCACAATGCCAGTGAGAGGGAGACACTCACTTCCACTGCATTTTTTTAATAGAGCCAAGCAGAGACCAGATTCCAATATAATTTCCAAGTATTGCTGGCATTTCAGCAACCTCATATTTCTGCCATTAGTGTCACAGAAAACATTTTATGTGTTGAGGGCAGCAAAAAACTCAGATTCTTCTTACTACATCTGACAATATTTCTCTAAATTTTGTGCCAGGAGTAGTTTGATTTCAAAAATCTTTTGAGAAAGGAGGGATTTAAGGGCCAAAGGTCCTTAGTAAGAGGCAAAATTAAAAGCAGTATTATCTGAATTATATGGGGAACCAATAACAACAGTTCATTAATCATTGCAGCGCTCTGTTGAGACAGAGTTTAAGACTGAGCTTTAAAATGCTTTAGTGCAGAGGAGCTGGACATGCAGAGTGTGAGAATGCTGCTCTTACTGGGGTCGAAGGGGTGAGGCTGCAGACAGTTCACCACGTGGTTGTCAGCCTCCAGCAGCATGAGGTGCTCAGCAGTGTGGCGGTCCCAGATGAAAATGTGGCCGCAGTCTGAGCCACTCATGACAAAGTTGGATCCCCAAAAGTTGGCTTCCTTTATCTGCAAGAAAAACAAAACTTTGTATGACCCATCCAAGAGCACACTCTTGTGCCTGCACTAACAGTGCTGCTGAAGAAATCTCAGCCCATGCAGAAATGACATTTAAGAAATTTTAAAGGAAACATGTAAAGAAGAGTGATTAAAAAAATGAAAGTTCAGAAGGTTTTAGATTTCCAGAGCAAAGTAGCCACTAATAGGAAAGAGAAGAGAAAGGAGATGGGGCAGACTGAACAGTTTGAAAGTAAATGCCAGCAGATCTGTCACTTTCTGAAGTCACAGAAATGATACTGGAGACAGGGGTATGCAATGGAGTTTTTAGGAAGAGTTTGGCTAAGTTAATGTTTGTGACATACTAATCCCTGGGGGGGATTTTCCATTACAGAGAAACAGGAGACAAGACAGAAGCTTATGAAACCTTCTTCAGAAATCACTTCTGATTTTACTGAGTGTAGGACCTCAAAATAACCATTGTTAAATGATATAAATTTGCTGTCCTATGTCCTCTGCAGGTGAGAGGTTTGATGAGGTGGCAGAGGGAGAAGGGACATTGCTTCAACAGCAGTCAGAAAACTCAGTCACGAGATGTGAGCTGGGAGCTCCACAAGACTCTGCTGTTTGTGCTGCAGGAAAAAGCCTGGAAGGCTGAAGTGTAGCCCTGCACGCAGAATTGTTACTTTGAGAGCCAGCAGTACCTCCTATAAACTCTTTTAACTGACATACAAGGGGCAGGAGAGGTACCTGTGCACGCAGGAGTTTCCTGTGCAGCAGCTTGCAGTGTTCACACAGACCATTTCCAATGTGGGAAGTTCAGTTTGGCTTTTAAGAGTAACTCCAGCATAAGGGACTTTGAGTTTGAGACTATTTACACAGAATCCTGCTATGAATTATTTTCCAGGTAAGACTCTAAAGAGGGCCATGCCTGGATCCTTATCTTTCTTTTGGCACACTTCCTATAGAAAATGCCCTGAAAAAAAGGGCAGAGACATTGCCTTGCTCTGTGCTTTGCCTCAGCTACCTTGATAGAGGTTCATTGGTAAGTTGAACCCTTATGCTGTTAGAAATATGTGCTTTATTTCCAGCATAAGTATGCCCAGCTTTAATTTTCAGGCTTGGTAGATCTTTGTCTATAAAATCTGTCCCAATGAGAGCAGTCAATACAATAAAGTCATCCTGATGTCTAAAAATAAAACAGAGAAGCTGCATTCCTGTGATGAATTCCAATGTATTAATCTTTCAGCAGCTTTCATCTTTAGCTCCTTTTATATCTATTTTCATTATCCTGTTACATCTAGATTATCCCAAATAATAAAAAATATTTAATTTTATATTTTAATTTTCAATTATGACGTCTTCCTGTTTCCTTTGTATTCTCTTACTCATACTTCTCAATACTCATAAAATCAAATTTTAGCACCACAGAAATTAAGAGAACTAAAATTCACATTTAAAAATTTCAGTTTTCAGAAGTTTCTAAAAGTCACTGTTTTAAAAGCAGGACTATAAAAAAAGTAAGATTGCCAAATAAAGTTTTCAAAAGTAAAGAAGAATCAGAATTATTCCATTTTCCTGCATAACCTTAATTCACTATATATACATATACACACACCCATGTATATGTGTATATATACATAAAAATTATATACATATATATGTATAAATGGCTCATGTAATTGATAAGACAACTTTATCCCTGGGTTGCTCAGGTGTGTAGGAAACAAAGCTTTTTAAGCTGTCTCCATAAATTTGAAAGGGAAATATCATTAGCCCTTCCCTTGCAGGAATGAAGGTATTACTCAAACCAGCAGATTAAAATGATATTTGCAACCATACAGACCAACAGGGAAAATAAAATTACATCTTCATTCATTCTATGCATTCCTTGCCATAGGTGCTTGTGTGAAATAAAAGGAAAAAGACCAACCCACATCCCCATAAACCCAAACAAAAAAATCTGTTAAATAATCTGTATAATAGCAGCTATGCAGACAGAGACTGAACTAAGACTTAGATGAACTCACTTTTAGTATCTTTTAACCACAAAGTGCCTGATGCCAGAACTTTTAAACTAATGGGGGTTTAAGCAATTAAAATCAATTTCTGAAATACTGTGGAAAATTCTTTATCATTATTTAAAGTTCATTTTAAACTCTGTTGT